AAGTAGATAGGTCAAAATGGACTTGAGACATCTACAGAATATCCCACCCAGCTGCAGAACACACATTCTTCTCAGCAGCCCACAGACCTTCTTCCAAATAGACATTTTAGGGCATAAAGCAAATCTTAACAAATAAAAGAAAGTAACTTCTTATAATCATACCACGATAGAATAAAACTAGAAATCAATAGCAAGAGAAACTACAGAAAATACAAAGACATGGAAACTGTGCAACATATACTTGAATAATGGGTCATCAAAAAATCAAGGGGTGAAAAAAAAATAAAAAATCTTAGAAGCAAATGAAATACAACCTATATATAAACACCAGAACCTATAGGATACAATCAAAGTGCTTGTAAGAGGGGGTGCTTGTAAATGGGAGTATCTACATTAAAAAAAAATCAGTGAGATCTCAAATAAGTCAGTGATGCAATCAAGCTTATTAGAAAAATAAGTCAATCCCTAAATCAATAGAAATAACTAAGATAAAGACAGATATTAATGAAATGGAAACTAAAAGAATGATAAAAGAATCAACAAAACAAAGAGGTCTTTGAAAACATAAACAAGATTGACAAACCCTTAGTCAAACTAACTAAAAGGGAAAAGAACCAAGTTGATAATATTAGAGATGAAAAATGTGACATTACAACAGATACTAAGGAAATCCAGACCATCATTAGGAAATACTTGGAAAACTTATATTCCAATAAATTGGAAAATATGGAAGAAATGCATCAACTTCTAGACACAAATGACCTACCAAAATTGAACCAAGTAGATATAAATAAACAGTTCAATAATAAGCAATGAGATCGCAACAGTTACATATTAAAAAAAAAAAAAACAAACCTCTCAACAAAGAGAAGCCTGGGACCCAATAGATTCACAGCTGAATTCTCTCACATCTTACAAGAAGAACTAATGCCATTGCTCCTCAAAATATTCTACAAAATACAAACTATCCCATAAAATACAAAAATTGTAAAGCAACACTTCCACACTCATCCTATGAAGACATTATTACTCTGATAGCAAAATCAGATGACATAACAAAAAAGGAAAACTGTCGGCTAATTTCCTTGATGAACATAGATGCAAAAATCTTCAATAAAATACTTCAACAAAACAATAAAAAGATCACACATCAAGCTGGCTTCATTCCAGCAATGCAAGGCTGGTTCAACGTACACACATGGATAAATACAGCATATAAACAGAAGTACAAGAACTACAGGATCATCTCAATAGATGCAAAAAAAAAAGCGCTTTTGAATGAATCCAACATCCTATCATGATAAAGTCCTGAAGAAACTAGAAACAGAAGGTTCATATCTCAACATAACAAAGGCCGTGTATGTCAGACTGACAGCCAACATTATACTGAATGGGGAAAGACTGAAAGCATTTCCTATAAAATTAGGAATGAGACATGACTGTACATTCTCTCCACTCTTAATCAATACAGTGCTTCAATTCTTAACCAGATCAGTGAGGCAAGAGAAAGAAATAAGGACGACACAATTAGGAAAGGAAGAAGTCCAACTATCTCTATTTGCAGATAATATAAACCTATGATTAAAAGACCCTAAAGACTCCACTAGCAGATTCTTAAATCTGATATACATGTTTAGCAAAGAAGCAGGATACAAAGTCAACATGAAAAAACAGTAGCTTTTCTTTACACCAACAATGGACTCACTAAAAAAAGAATTCAGGAGAGAAATCCCATTCACAATAGCCACAAAAAATTTTAAAATACCAAGGCATAAACTTAAAGGTGTTAAAGACCTCCACAATGAAAACTACAAAGCACTGAAGAAACTGTAGAAGATACTGGAAGATGGAAAGACCTCCCTTGTTTATTGATGGCCAAAATAAATATTGTTAAAATGGCCATATTACCAAAAGCAATATACAAATTCAATGCAATCCCAATCATAGTTCCAATGACAGAAATAGAAAATAGCAATCCTAAAATTCATATGAAAACACAAAAGACCCCGAGTAACCAGAGCAAGAAGCAATCCTGATCAAAACGAGCAATGCTACAGGTATCACAATATTCACACTATACTACAGAGCCATAACACAGTTTGTTACTAGTCAAAAACAGACACATAGACCAATGAGATAGAAGATCCAGAAATAAGTCCAAGCAGATACAGCCATCTGATTCTCGACAAAGGCACTAAAAATATACATTGAAAAAATGACAGCCTCTTTAACAAGTGGTGTTAGAAAAACCAGATCTGACCCCATGCAAAAATCAATTCAAAATTGATCAAAGGATCTTAATGCAAGAACCTGAAACTTTGAAACTACTAGGGGAAATCTAAGCATAGGCAAGGACTTTCTGAATAAGACTCAGGAAATAATAGTAAGAACAGACAGGATTATTTCATACTGAAAACCTGCATAGTAAAAGAAACAACCAACAGAAGGAAGAGACAACCTACAGAATGGGTTTTGGATTTTTTTTGTTTGTTTTTGTAGTGCTGGGAATCAAACCCAGGGCCTTGTGCATACTAGGCAAGCACTCAACCACTGTGCTACACTCCCAGCCTCAGAATGGGAAAAAGTCTTTGCCAAGTATTTATCTGACAGGGGATTAATACTAGAATATGAAAGGAACTCAAAATGATTAAACACCAAAATATCAAATAATCCAATCAATAAATGAGTAAGTAAACTGAATAGACACTTTCAGAAGAAGCCAAATGGCCAATAAATGTATGAAAAAAAAATGTTCAGTATCTTTATAGTCATCAGGAAAATGAAAATTAAAACTTCATTGAGATTCCAAATTACCCCAGTCATAAAGGGTGTTATCAAGAAAGCAACAAATGCTGGTGAGGATGCAGGGAAAAAGGAATTCTTATTCATTGTTGGTAAGAATGTAAATTAGTCCAGCCACTGTTGAAATGTATGGAAATTCCTCAAAAAATTAAAAGTAGACCTTCCATATCATTCAGGCATACCACTTCTGGGGATATACACTGATGAATCAAAATCAGCTTACTATACAGATACCTATATACTCATGTTTATCATGGCATTATTCACAATAGCCAAATTATGGAATCAGCCTACATGCCTATCAAAGATAAAGGAGGTATGGTATATGTACACAGTGGAGTTTTACTCAGCCACTAAGAAGAATGAAATTATGTAGTTTACTGGAAAATGGATGGAACTGGAGATGCCCTAAGTAAAATAAGTCAGTCCCACAGAGATAGGTATTATTTTCTCTCATTTGTGGAAGCCAGGGGGAAACAAAGAAACACACAAAAAACCAAACCCAACATCATGAAAGTAGAGAGGTAGAATAGGAAGAAAAAGGGAAGGTTGGAGGGAGATTCAGGTGAATAGTTATGGAAATGTCATGTTGAACTGCTATGTGTGATGTAATATATACCAATAAAAATATGAGAAAGATGGCAGCCCCACTGACAGAAGGAAAAGTCAGGGCCATGGGCCTGAGGAGTCATGGGGATAATGGTATGAGGGGTTTGTTGAAGAGTGAGCCTGGGGTTAAGGAAAGGTGGGGTCCCAGAAGTGAATAGAGGGGTAAAGGCTGATTGGTGAGGAGACCCACACTGAGTACCAAGAACAGGGCTGAGGTTATGTTTGGAGATTTGAGATGATTTCAGGCTGGGAAAAGGTGTTGCTTAGAAAGTTAAGGGGAACAATCTCAGAGGCAAGAACTGAAGGCCAGGTTACGGCTGAGGAAGAGCTGCAGCAGGGTGAGTTGGAACACCAAACATTTGTGCTTGGCCAACATACTGTACCTTGCAGGTTATTGCTGAGTCTGAATCCTGAAGACAGTGGTGCAATCAACGTCTCAGAAACGAGATGGACATGTCATTCTTATACCACTAAACATCAACTCTTCTATCTCCAATGATAAGTAGCATCCTTTAAGAAACACTAGTTTGTTCTAAGTATGATAAAAGAAAATATGACACTTGTCTTTGGGCTACTGGCTTATTTCACTGAACATGGTATCTCCAGTTCTATCCATTTTCCAGCAAACCACATAATTTCAATCTTTTTAATGGTTGAGTTAAACTCCATTGTGTATATATACCACATTTTCTTTATCCATTGATGGGCATCTAGACTGATTCCATAATTTGGCTTTATGAATAGTGCCATAATAAACATGGGTATGTAGTTACCTCTATAAGTAAGGTGATTTTGATTCTTGTATGTATATACCCAAAAGTGGTTGAAGGCCTTGGTAAGATTATAGAATACTTGGGTTATTAATATTTATTTTTTATTCCTTCATAGTGCCGAGGCCTGAAATTATATACATTACTGGCATTCAATATTCAATTATTGTAAATAGTTGAAAAGACATAATTAGGTGAATCTCCTGAGATATATCTTAATAGTAAGGATCTCATTCATGAACGAAAGAGTAAATAAGATAGTTGTGTCAGATAGACCTGTTAGAATGTTTGCATTCACAAGAGACAGTATTTCAGGAGCTGACAGACACTTGATGCTAGCTCACTGATAGTAAGGATGGTCCTTGAAGCTTTTGATAGTGCACGAAGGTGAGAAAAAAGGAAGTCAAAGGTACCACAGGCAAGGTGTAATGTTTCAAAACACACACGACCATAAACCATTTCCCATTGCCTGTGAAGTCAATTAAATCTGGTAAATATGTTTCTCTAAAAAGCAGCTTTAAAGGTTGTAGCTGAGAGATCCTCAGGCAACCCCAATGATTCCCACTCCTGGCATTCACACCCTTATATAATATCCCCACACTCCTGCAGGGTGGGAGAAATCTGTGATTTGCTCACTTCTAGCCAAAAGAATATGGTAAAAGTGACAGAAGTCACTCTTATGAGTATGTTAAGTTACAGAAAACTCCATCTTGCTAAGTCTCTCTGGTTCTCTTATTAGTCTTGAAAAACCATGCAGACATATTATGGCCTGCTTAAGGAGAGGACCAAGTGGCAGAGAACTGCAGGCAACCTCTGGCCATCACCTGGCAAGCAAATGAAGCTCTCAGATCTACAGCTGCAAGGAAAAGAATTCTGGCAACAACTACTAAAGTTTGGAAGCAGATTCTCCCCGCAGTTAAGCCTCTAGATGAGACCACACTCTGAATGTCACCTTGATTGTAGCCCTGTGAGACCCAGCACAGAGGACCCACCTGTGCTGTGTTTACCTCCTGAGCCACAGAGAATATGAGATTAATAATAAATGTATGGTGTTTTAAGCTGCTGAGTTTGTGATAATTTATTAGGCAGCACAGAAAACTATACAGACATCTTAACATATAAGGGGAAAAAAGAAAAATAGTATTGAGTTATTGGCCATGTGGGGTATTTATTAATGAAGATCAAACATCCAAAGCACAGTCTTCAATGCTCATTTCCATGACTTTAAGAGTCGGTAATTCATTGCCATGATTGTTGCCACTTCTGATGCTGGAGAACTGATCAGACCGGATGAGTGACGTGCTAAGACAACATAATTCACCTGAAGTCTCAACCCTTTCAGTATCACTATCACCTTCAATGACATTCACAGAGGTTTCCTGGTCTATTAAACGGTCTGAACTTGGACTGTTTTTGTCCCAAGTTGAAGACACAAGATCTGTTTCTTCAGTCACCGGTTGAATTAAAACCCCTTCTGAATCTTCTGAATACTTTGATTTATAAATGGGCATGAAAAAGTCACCTGGTGAAGAAACCATCTCATTCTCATCCTTTGGTGCAGACAATAACATATCCAAAGCCTTTTGGTATTGTCGACATTCCTGTTGAATATCTGTATCATTTTCAGTTTTAAATTTATTTTGTTTTGAATCCATAGCCTTTTGAAAGTCAAGTAAATTCCACATACTGACATCATTTAGCTTTACTGAATTTTCCTCAGATACGCAGCCTAAGTCTACCTTTAGGCCATGCAGCAGGTGGCGCATTTTTTCCTAGGATTGAGAAAATACCTATGTAATTATTAGAACAATGACATTAGTTAATTGTATTGAATTGAATTACTTTTGTTTGCAGGGCTGCTAATCTCAGCAGGATTAGTACCTTACACTCCCCCAATTCCCCTGAGTCCCATAAAAAAGTACAAGGGAAAAAGTTCTGGATTTGAATATATTTTTTGAGGGTATGAAAAACTTGAAAATGTCTGAATGAGAATTTTTCTAATGCAGCTCTAAAGAGAGACAAACCTCCTCCAGATGATGTTTGTTTTGTTTTATGTGCCGCTCAAACAGTCGTTCTAAAAATCTAAAGATAAACAAAAATGTTAATGTCTTAAAAACCAGAACTCAACTAGTATATAAAATAGCCACATAACACCCAAACTATTAAAGGCTGAAAAACATTTTTCTGATTAATCTTTCTGTCTCTAAAGCTGAAGACTAATCATTTCCTGTTCAGTTAAGTCCTCCAACCTAGAAGCTAGTGTGACACTTCAACTATGAGTTTGCTTCAAGTTATATAATGGATACCAACATTTCTGGAAGACTGTATACTACTTATATTTCTGTAGATGAAATATTTTAAGTGAGGTACAACAATTCTTACACACACCCCAAAGCTCTCTTTCTTACCATACACAAACACCAAAACCCCTTCTTGCCTTCTCTTCCTCCCTCCCTCCCTCTCTTTCTCACATGCTCACATGTACACATGCTCAAATCCAAAACTTAAAAAGAAAATTCTCTTACAGGTATTTTATAATGCTTCCTAAATTATCCTTGAAAAATTCCACTGATGATAAACCCACATAATAACCTAAACATTACCACTTATTAAGTACCAGTAAGCTGAACATATTTGTGCTACACACATAATAATCATTATACCAAGGTATTGTAAAAGCACTTTAGAGATGAGAAAAGCACATCTCTAAGATAATAATTTCCTCTCTCCCAATATCACAAGTGACTCAGAGAATTTAACCCAGATGTAACTGGCTCCAGACAACTTCTTCTTCTTATTATAACATGATTGTTTATCCCATTAATCTATCAACAGATTTGAAAAACAGATGGCTTGTAATCAGTTAAGTTATAAGCCAACCTTGGGGAGTTAGTAGTTCTGAATTATTTAATAATTTTTAAAAGTACAAGAAGTCTGTATTCTATTTTATACAGCTACTATTAACATTTTGGAATATTCATATTTATTCCTAAGTATTTTTCTATGCATATCTATTTTTTCCCCAAACTGGAAATAAACAATAAAAACTGTTTGGGTACCTTTATTTTTTTCTGATCAACTATATATGTCATGAACACCTTTCTGTATCAAGAAATGTACTTCTATAGCTTCTTTTTTGTGGTGCTGGGGATGGAATCCAGGAGCTCATGCAGGCCACGTACGTGTTTATCACTGAGCTCCACCCCCAACCCTACAATATTATTTTAAATGTGGAACAGAGCTTACACTCACAAATATTCTATAATGTGTTCAAGCAAACCTTATTATTCAATGTTTAGGCTGATTCTACTCCTTTGGTGCTATAATTAAAAATCTTGTAATAGATAAGTCTTATAATCCTAAGAGAAAATGCAAAAATTTAAGAATACATATGATTTTGTATGCAAATGTTTTTGTGGTTAATAAACTAAAATTTTACTTTCTTCACCATTTAAAAAATAGTTATTTTAAAATTATTATTATTATTATTTTTTGAGACAGGGTCTTGCTATGAGGCCCAGACTAGTTTCAAACTCATCATCCTCTTCCCTCTGCCTCTCAAGTCCTGGGATTATAGCTGTGTACCACCATGCCCAGCATAAAAAATATTTTTATTACCATATTATTTTATACTGGGGATACACTGTGACATTTACAAAAGTGCTTGCATTATATCTTAGTCAAACTCACTCCCTCCATCATTCTCCTTTATCCCCTTCTTAGAATAACTTCAACAGGTTTCATGTTTCCATTTTCATACATGAATATATAATATTTTACCCAGCTTCTAACCATTTTTAAATGTTCAGTTCAGTAAGTGTTAAATGTATTCACATTGTTGGGAAACATCTCTTAAAACCTTTTTAGTCTTGTAAATTTGAAACTCTATACCCATTATGCAAATGTTTTAAACCATCTTTTTAAAAATGAAAGCTATAAACACTATTATTGCCAAAAAACTTAGATCTTTTCAACAAATATATGTGCATATATATGTTTATATATATGGGGTTTAAACTCAGGACTTTGCACTTGCAAAATAGGTGCTCTACCACTTGAACCACACCTCCAGTCCATTTTGCTCTGGTCATTTTGGAGATCAGGTCTCTCAAACTATTTTCCCAGGCTGGCCTTGAACCCGAATCCTCCCAATCTCAACCTTCCAATCAGCTAGGATTACATGCTTGAGCCACTGGCACCTGGCCCATCAATATATTTTTTATGCCACTAATGAAAATGTCCACCTTAATTAAAAAAAAACTTGCAAAAATCTGAAACTAGATCCATGTATATCACCCTATACCAATATTAACTCAAAATGGATCAAGGACTTTAATATCAGACCCCAAACTCTAAAGTTGGTACAGGAAAGAGTAGGAAATACTCTGGAATTAATAGGTATAGGCAAGAACTTTCTCAATGGAACCCCAGCAGCACAGCAACTAAGACATAGCATAGATAAATGGGACTTCATAAAACTAAAAAGCTTCTGCTCAACAAAAGAAATGGTCTCTAAACTGAAGAGGCCACCCACAGAGTGGGAGAAAATATTTGTAAGCTACACATCAGACAAAGGACTGATATAACCAGAATATATAGGGAACTTAAAAAACTAAATTCTCCCAAAATTAATGAACCAATAAAGAAATGGGCAAGTGAACTAACAGAACCTTCTCAAAAGAAGAAATTCAAATGGCTAAAAACATAGGAAAAAATGCTCACCATCTCTAGCAATAAAGGAAATGCAAATTAAAACCACACTAAGATTCCACCTCACCCCTGTTAGAATAGCCATCATTAACAAAACCACTAACAACAGGTGTTGGCAAGGATGCAGGGAAGAAGGAACCCTCTTACACTGCTGGTGGGAACGTAAACTAGTACAACCACTCTGGAAAAAAATCTGGAGGCTACTTAAAAAGCTAAACATTGATTTACCATATGATCCAGCAATACCACTCTTGGGGATATACCCAAAAGAATGTGACACAGGTTACTCCAGAGGCACCTACACACCCATGTTTATTGCAGCACTATTCACAATAGTCAAGTTATGGAAACCGCCAAGATGCCCCACTACTGACGAATGGATCAAGAAAATGTGGTATTTATACACAATGGAATTTTATGCAGCCATGAAGAAGAATGAAATGTTATCATTCGCTGGTAAATGGATGGAATTGGGAACATCATTCTGAGTGAGGTTAGCCTGGCCCAAAAGACCAAAAATCGTATGTTCTCCCTCATATGCAGACATTAGATCAAGGGCAAACACAACAAGGAGATTGGACTTTGATCATATGATAAAGCGAGAGCACACAAGGGAGGTATGAGGATAGCTAAGACACTTAAAAAACTAGATAGCATTAGTTGCCCTCAATGCAGAGAAACTAAAGCAGAGACTTTAAAGCAACTGAGGCCAATAGGAGAAGGGGACCAGGAACTAGAGAAAAGGTTAGTTGGAGAAGAATTAACTTAGAAGGTAACACACATGCACAGGAAATCAATGCGAGTCAACTCCCTGTATAGCTATCCTTATCTCAACCAGCAAAAACCCTTGTTCCTTCCTATTATTGCTTATACTCTCTCTTCAACAAAATTAGAGATAAGGGCAAGATAGTTTCTGCTGGGTAGCGAGGGGTAAGGGGGGGTAAGGAGGGAGTTGGGGGGTGGCAAGGGAGGGGGCGGGGGAAGGGGGGAGAAATGACCCAAATGTTGTATGCATATATGAATAAAATAAAAATTAAAAAAAAAACTTGAGGTGGGGATAGAAATAATTCACTGGACATGTCTGCACTTGCACACTGTTACAACTGAGAAAGCATACAGAATACAGAGTGGGGTCCTCTGCTATACAACATGAAGTAGAATCCAGTGTCCAATCAATTTTAGATACAGAAATGTACAAGCTAGCCCAAGCACACACAATTTCTTTAAGATGTGCAATATCTAATCTGGTTTTGTAAATTTTCCATTTCATTTATAGTATGCAAACTTGGGTTTTAATTTGTCCTTATTTACCTGAGCTAAAACATTAACAGGTAGAATAAAGATGCTTGTTTTAGCTGGGTGTCCGTGGTCTGGGGCCAGCCTTGCTAAAAAAATTTTGCAAGACCTCATCTCAACCAATAGCTGAGCACACCTTTTGGCAGGAGGCTGAGATCAGAAGGACTACAAAAGTTTGCCAGAACCCTCATCTCAATGGAAAAAAGCGGGGTGTGGTGGTACATACCTGGGAAGCATGAACTATGAGGATCATGGTCCATTCTGGCCTCAGCAAAAAGCGAGACCCTATCTTCAAAATAACCAGAGCAAAAAGGGCTGGAAGTGTGTCTCAAGCAGTAGAGCACCTGCCTAGCAAGTGTGAAGCCCTGAGTTCAAACTCCTGTACTGCAAAATCTAAAAGGTTTGCTTTCGATTCTCATAATGTTTTACTAAACAGCTGTGCCAACAGGAAGCAAACTCTCAATTTATTCTACCCGTTTGTTATAACTAAGGTACAATAACAACCAAATAAAATCTCTTCTATAAGTTCTTAAAATGTGAACTTGCTCTGGAGTATGAATTAAACATTCTTTATAACTTGCTATCAATTGTAAGAATATGATCTCAAAAAGGCAATATAACTTTTCACTTACTAATATGTAGAAGTAGTTTTAAAAATTAACTATATATGAGGGCTAGAGGCATGGCTCAAGTGGCAGAGTGCCTATCTAGCAAGTGCAAAGTCCTCAAAGTTCAAATTCCAGTACCACTGCCCCCAAATTAACACTAGATGAAAAACATTTAATGTATACTTCAATTTCCAAAAAAAATTTAAAACTCTAACCTGTTGGAAAATAAACCAAGTTTCAAAATTTCATCTGTTACATCTTCAATGAAATTCAGATACAACAGTTCTTCTTCACTGTGAAGGCAAGGCAACACCGAGCATCAAAACTGTTATTTATTCTGAAAACTGTAGGAAATGAGTACCTAATCATAAATACCCATCTCCACCATTATAAATGTACTTCTATTAATTATTGTCATTCAGGGGAATAATACAAAACAAGTATATGCCTATTTTCTCAAATATAATTACTAAAAGTGAGAAGTTATCACTTGGTGGTGTAAAATTTCATAGCCTTCTGCAACATCTGTAGCAATAAAAATCATAATTAAATAAAACAACAACAAAGAAAGCAACCAAGGGCAAGAGGATGAGCAAATGCCATACCGTGGAGCTAGAGCCCTGGCCCAGCATTTTGTATTTGCTCTGGCTCCTTGTCTGGCAGCAGAAGCATGAGCCTTCTGCACAGCACCCGTGGGAGGGTAAGAGCACCCATGCAGGGAAGCAGAAGCTTTAATTATGAGGTCCTCCTCTATTCTAAGGATGGTATCTTATATTAAGGTTGGGAAATTAACTGAGAAGAAAATTTTCCTTCTTTTCCTTCAAAATGTAGAGGGGAAAAAGTTCTAATAGGAAAATTTGTAAACAAATATATAGTGGTAATTTTTAATTACTTGGACACATTTCTTTATTATACTACCTTATAACTACATTTAAGTAGCTATTACAAGAAAATTAGAGTATTATTACAAATTTGACTTCAGGTGAAATCAGTGAATTAATAGAAAATGTAAATAGCAGGGCAGGTAACCACTCAATTACTGAGTAAGCAAATATAAGAGGAAGAACTAATAAGCGAAGATAATAGATTAAAATATTAAGACAGTCACATTTTAAAACTGATTCACAAGGACTTGCTTAGAAGCAGCCAAGTTTGGGAATTAATGAAACCCCTAAAATAGATTATTTTCCTGAAAAAAATGTAACTTAACCAAAGCAACATTAAAACCTACAATTATAATACCTGCAAAGAACAGACAAACCTCTGGAAAGAGTGTCTTAAGCTGCTAAAATTTGCTTTTCTCTTGATTATTTTAACTCACAACATTAAATGAGAATTATAGGTAGTAATTATTCAAAATAGTAGGTATTAGTAACTTAGGGACAGATGTCTATTGAAGATAAAAATGACTGATAATCCAGAAAATTTTTGTCATTTTCTCCAATTTAGCATGAATTACACAAATGACACTCCAAAGCTGGTTATAAGAGAGATTAGTGTTCAGTCTCAAAGTATTTTATAATGGTTTCTATGATTCTTAATTCTGATTCCCAATAAAGTAAAATGAAGAGGTTAAAACAATCTTACTCAGAGTAGATTTTATTGTCTGAAGGAAGCTGCACGGAATACTGACACATTGTCCTAGAAGAAGAAAGTTAAAATGTTTTAGCAAAACAATGGTTGACACACAGTAAGCATTCAATAATATTATACATTAGTAATGATATGCTCTAGAGAATTTTAAGTACTTTTATATCCACAATGTCATTTAATTTCCTGAACAATCCAGTTGGGTGTGTTGGCTAAGTATTATTTTCCAATTTACTTAGGAATTCACCAAGAGTCAGACAGGCTAAGTGACTTGCTAAGGTTAATGTTGGTAAGTAGCAAGGATGGGTTTTAAAATTGGTCTTCTAGTCATAAACTCACAACCCTTTTAAAACTATGCTATGGCCCTTCCCTAGGATAAAAAAATGACAATTTGATTAAGGTTAATATACAGATAATGTTGAAAACATATTTTCCTAGGGAAATTCTTGTAAAGCTACTCATTCTGATAAATTTTGTCACTGTTTAGTTGTACTATTATTAGTTAATTCCAAGGTTTTAATTCAGGTGTATCCAGTGGTAATTTTTACTTCTTTTAGTTAGAAACTACTAGAAGAGACATTCCTTTCTTTGGGTCAGCCTTTATATTCAGTGCAAACTGGTTCAAGAGCAGCTTATATAATATTAAGTTATATGTCCATGAATTCAAGCTTACAATCAATTCACTGTGGCCTTAGGAGGTGAGATCTCCCTGGAAAAAGCCTGAGGGAGAAGCTGAATCCTGGGAAGACTGTACTCTCCTTTGTTCTGTTACACAACACCTCATTCTTGCCTTTTGAGAACACTATCCCCTTTATCTCATATCCAATCTCTGACACTGGAAATGCATTGATAGCTACAATTATCAAAGGCATCTAGCACCTGCTAATCTATCATTTTTTCTTTAGGTATAATATTCCACAATTACTAAACATGATGAAAATTTATTTTTCATGCTGGGGATTAAACTCAGGGCCTTGTGCTGATAAGCAAGTTTTTAAGAGTGCCTCTAAGCAGTGACAGACCAAGCACTAGCTTATGGGGAAAATCACAGATGATGACTCCTCAAATGGTAAAGTTCTTCACTCCTATTGGTTGCCATGTAAACTGGTTGGCATTGTTGCCAGAAGACTTGCCTTGGGAAAAATCCTTCTTAATCTGAGTAGTGATGATAAATAGTGCCAACTCCTGTCTCTTTTGCCTTTATTAATATATTAGCAAAATTAATTCATTTGAAACCTTTATTGAAAACTTAACTTTGTAAGATTTTTTTCAATAAAACACTGTTGCTAGGTTGTGTAACACTAAAATAAGGCTGATGCTGTAATACTATATGTCTATTATATAGGAAAGCAATTACAGATGGTTGAAATTATTCTTCCTATAAACTGTTCACCTTTCTGGGGAATGTTGCAGAGTACCATCTTTGATCTTGTCCCATGTTAGGTTGTGCCCTTGTAAAGGTAAAGGTATTATTTTTTCTTCGGTACCACATGTCATATAGTTAGATGCCTGGGAATGTAACAAAAATAATAAGTATTTTTCTTCAAATATATATTATATAAGCAAAACATCAAATTTCAAGGAAAATGAAGAAATCCAGAACATAACAGTGACCGATACATAACGAAAGTTTTAGAATAATTTTTCTATCCAATCAGCACCTTTTTCTTTTTTCTCTCCTCTTCTCACCCCATCTATTCTCCCCTCCCCTCCTCTCTTCTTTTTCTTTCCTCCCTTCCTCTTTCTCTCTCTCTCCCTCCCTTCCTTCCTTTTTTTTGTGGCAGGGTCTTGCCATACAACCCAGGCTCAATTCAAAATCAGGGTAATTCTACTTCAGCCCAACTGCTGGAATTACAGGATGAGACACCGCTGGCCAGCTCTTTAACTTATTTAAAGTAAGATAAAATGACTTATCTCTTGTATTTTAACAAGCAACACTTTAATGAACACTTTAATTAAGAAATTACCACAAATAAACACACAAAAAGAAAATGAAGCAAATCTGTAACTTTTCAGTAAAGCTGAGGAAAAAAACTACAGTATTCAAGTATCTAATTAAAATGCCAGTGTGTCAGAACATGCATAACCAGTGGCAGCCCTGGCAGTATGAACAACACTAACAAACAAAAACAATGGCAGCTTACTTCTACAGAACCCTTCCTGTGTTACAAACACTGCCGAGCATCTTACTTGCATTGTTGGATTTAATCTCTACAAGGGTAATTTATATACCACGGTTTACAGTTTTAAAAGTGTGGTTACATTGTAGATTGATTTCAGTTAATGTTCTTTTAGCCTCAAGTCAACTGATGGTATCACTGATTATGGAATATGGGGACCCACTGTTTTCTTGGAGGGTTGTAGGTGAGCGTTTGGAGCCCACTGTAATAAAGATGGGCTTCTGCTTTAGTTTATTTCATCATCTATAGAGCCAATTCATCATAAAACCCAAGCTAGTAATAGCCATCATTTAACAAGTGCGTACCAAGCTAGGAACTTTACCTACATTTTTTACTCCTCTCAAAGATTCTGCAGGTTAATTACAGTTTTTCTAGATGAGAACTCTCAGCTCTCTGAGGGTAGGTGTCTTGTCCTTGAGGTTTAAGTGGCAGGGCCCTATGTCAAACAGTTATTAATGGCTGAAATGGGACCTATCACTTTCTGTCCATTTTCAGAAGAGAAGAGGGAAGTTGGGTGTGATTGTATTTTACTCTTGTATCCCTGAATCTTTGATATTTTACTAGACAAATTATTTTTACAAACAATAAATTTAAGTTAGGACACAAGTACATGATTGATACCCCCAAAATAAAAATAAATCAGTTTGTCTCAAAATCATATTTAAAGCAATGACTTTTAAAAAGAATTTATTGCTAATTATTCAAAATACAAATACTATAATAATGAAATTTAAGGTCTAGAAAAGGTAAAGAGGAACAAAAGAAAATGGTTTCATCAATTCTAAAATGTATGATTTCCAATAGTATAAATAGTGGCAATTCTTCAAAAAAAAAATACAGGTATAAAATCAAATAAAATCAGTAAACTTTGTTGGTACTTTTAGTAATCCAAGTCTGTGTGTTTTTGAAAACAATATTTAATGTATTTTATTCCATCTATCCAGATAGACGACTCTCTAGATGCTAACAAGTGATTTCCCAGGATCCATCTGGCATCTGTGAAATGTTATAACCATTTCACAGTCCATATAACTACACATATTCTTTATAGGTTAAAGCACATGTAAGTCAAGGGTGGCAGCACCAAAATGTTTCATATATACTACCTGCTTCGTGTTCACTTCTGAATCTGTCAAGTTCTTTGTCTCAGCTGTCCAAACATCAGAATTAAAGCTGTAATATTTTTAAAAAATGACTGTTACTTCTTCAAAATATAAACACCATAAATAACAAGCTTTACTATATAAAAAAGAAACACGAGAGAATGAGATCTACCTATATATTCTTGTAAATTGTGTAATTTCTAATTAGATAATCAAAAAATACATATGGTTGAGATTCTATATGCTTCTTTTTCCTTTTTTATTTTTGAATAGCACTAGAGTCCAGTTAAATAAACATGTGAATGTGATTATTATTATTTATTTATTTATTTCTTTTTCAGTACTAGGTTTGAGCTTGGGGCTTCTAGCTTGCTAGGCAGGTACTCTACTGCTTGAGCCATGCCTCCAGCCCCTTTTGCTCTGTTAATATTGGGGCCTGGATCCTCCCAATCTCAGCCTTCTCTGTAGCTTGGGATGACATGTGCATGCCACTGCAACCCAACCAGCTACAGGTTGAGATGGGGTCTCATGAATTTTTTGTCAGGGCTGACCTCAACCCATGAGCCTCCTGATTTCAGCTTCCCAAGTAACTAGTATTACAGTATTACAGGTGTGACCCACTGGTGCCCTGCAGGCACTGGGGCTTGAACTCAGGGCTTTACATTTGCTAGACAAGACCTTTACCACTTGAAATATACCTCCAGCCCAGAACTATTATCTTTATAACATTCATAAATATAATCATAAAAGGATATGACATACTTGATTTTCTCTTTTCTGTCCCACTTGGTAAAGTTCTATTGCAGATCCAATTTCTTAATTTTTTAAATTAAATATATGTGGATTCATCTAATATAGAAGTACCTCTAATCTATACCCAAATGATAGTAGTCTAATAGTTTTTTACTTTCTAAAATAATTAAAACCCATACCAGATAAATCATTTGTGTAACATTGATCTGTTTGTTTCTGTAATCATTGGGCAAACTTCAAGGAATATCATGTCGTAAACACTATTGGATATGAAAACATTATTGAGGCAAATTACATTTAATTTCTAGACAATAGTCTAAATTATTCCTGGGCAGTTGTTGCTATGCAAATAAATATCTACAGGGAAGGGAGCACAAAATTAGTTGGCCAAAAGGTTGGTTTTTCAAATACATAATTCCATAATGAATTCCACTATGAATTCCAGTATGAATTGATATGGATATTTACACAAATGCTGTCTGATGTCATATTTTAAGAATTCCCTTGAAAGTATAATACTTAAAAATGTACAACAGTTCTAGAACTATGTTTGAAACAATAGATTATGTAACATTCGTATTCATAAGGAACTCGATAAGCTGAACAGCTTTTTCAACAATCACTGAGTTCTGGCGATACATGGAAAAGTTGTAAAGTACACACTAGAAAGCAAGGAGTGTAGCTTACTTAATTTATTTTCATTTAACTTCCTGACCTTACGATTGGTTGCTGTCCTGCCATACCTGCTTAATTCAGTCTGAGTTTCAGCTTCTATCCGTTGATCTGTAAAATTCTTTTTTCTTTTGGCAGGTGTATAATATCGGTACTGTGATAGGAAAGATTTTGCTTCTGTTTTTAAAGTGCGTGGAGTGAATGGCAAGTGTTTGTTAGAAAAGAGGTCAGAATGCTTTTCCAAAAGATCCCCACTGGGTGCTTTTGAAATGACTAACTGGAAGCGATGAGAATTTGGGAACATGCTCCTAGGCCTTCTGCCATACATGGTTCCAGAGCACGTTTTCGCAGGGCGGGAGGTGGTGTAATCCATGCTGGATGGAGAGAAGCTGGTGTTCTCAGTGCTGTTCAGGAGGGCTTTATCCGATTTAGGAAGACTGAGGGGTCTCTTTGAAGAAGGTACTAGCGACTTCTCAAAGGATGGAAATCCATTCATTTCTATTAACACATCCTGGTCTTGCGGTTCCCCTGAGGGCTAAGAATATTTGGTTTAATGTTATCAATTGTATTAGAAATTCATCTAATTGGGGATCTCTGGATTAATTTACATGTATAACTCATTTAATCTTTGCACTAATTTCTGAGTGGTAGTACACTTATTACTTTTACTGTGTGTGCACGGTCCTGGGGGTTGAACCCAGGGTCTTGTGCATGCCAGACAACTGTTCTACCAACTGAGCTATATTCTTAGCCCTACCCTTATTTATTTATTTACTGCAGTTACTAAAGTTTGAACTCAGGACCATGAGCTTGCTAGGCAGGTGCTCTACCACTTGACCCGTACCCAGCCCTTTTTACTTATTTTTCGAGTAGGGTACTGCTCTTATGCCTGGCTGGCTTAGACCACAATCCTTTTATTTTATGCTAGGGTGACAGGTGTGTACCACCACATCCAGCTATTGGTTGAGATGGGATCATGTGAAATTTTTGCCTAGGCTGGCCTTGAACTATCTCAGCCTCCCAAGTAGCTGAGGTACAGGGTTCTCACAGATTCAAACTGAGGCTGAGCCTATACTCTTCTATACTCATCATATTGTCTGTTTTAAAAACTCATTTAAAACTTGTGTAATTTTAGATTTTTTGCAGCACAAGGAATCTTAAACTGTTTTAAACCTCTTTCCTGGTAAAGAATAGGTAGCCAATCTAAGTACTGATTTACTTAAGTAAAGAAACTGCAAATTATTGGGTATTATGACTACTTCCTAAAATAGATCAATTTACCCATTTCCTTTTCAAGCCTTCTACCTTTTCCCAAATACACAGCAAAATTACTCAAAGCAAGTACATATTTTGGCATTCAGTTTTGAGTCCCTAGGGTACTATTTGGTAAATGTCTTTGGTACCTTAGTCTTAGAAGTCTTCCCAAACTAGGCTCATACTATAGCTTATTAATCCAAAGAGTCTGGCTTGGAAAGAAATTTCTAAGTACAATCTGAAAGAAAATCCTACAGGGCTATTAACAATTACAGGAATTATTTATACTTAAAAGTAATAGTATTAGCTAAGATTGGAGCAAGCAGAAATGCATATGGCATTAGACTGCCCATAAAGAAATTCTTACCAGTAGTGTGTTTTTACTAAAATGAAATACCAAATTGAGTCTTTAAAGATAGAAATTCAGGGCAAAGAACATAGCTCAGTGGCAGACTATTTGCCTTCCATACAATAAGGCTCTAGGTTCAATCCCTATCACTGAAAAAAAAAAGAAAGAAAAGAAAAATAGACTCTTATTTGTCTGACATATGCTGAAAAAATTCCTTCTGAAACTGATTGAAAAGCATGAAACTTTTCTGTATTGTCACATCTCATAATCTTTACCTACTTTCTTTTTCTTTCCTTGGAAACCAGTAGAACACAGTATGAAATCAACTACATTGATTTGCTTTTTGAGATATATATATATATATATATATAATTGCTTTCTTAAGTTATAAATACAGAAAGCTTGGAAAGATATTTACACAGAATGTATGTAACATATTGGTAAATTCACCCCAACTTGAAAAGCATATCACTGAAATTCTGTATGTGTCAATGGAACAAAAGGTTTTGTGGTAATCTGATCACTTACCCTGATGTCATCCTTACAGTCTGATGTGATCTGCTGTAAACCATTTCTGTGACTCAGAACACATGTAATAATCACTCGATAGTTCATGTACTCATGTACAGGTCAAGAATATCTACTCAATTTTATAATCACAGATCAACTGAGTGCTAAATCAATCTTTTTCAAGGATGCTGTCAGAAGACCTGGTATACAAAGATTTTCCAACCATCAGATTTAAAGTAGTTGAAGAATCAACTCAAATACAGAATAAGTTGGGTACAAATTATTTGAAAATCTAACTCTTTTTTTGTAAAAAAGTTTCAAATTATATTTTATAAAAGAAGAATGGGTGGCTCTTGATTTTCATTGTTTTATATTGCTTGTAAAATGTTTCATGTTTTAAAATACAGAACACAGTTAAATGTGATACCAGTTGAGTTACAAGACTAAAAGGACTTAGAAAGTTCCTGAAAGTGACAGCAGCAAGTCAGGCAAGGGAAGAAAAGTGGTATGACAGAATGTGCAATGAAAATAAGAGGTTTTTGATATATGATCTCATGAATATAAACAACTAAGATGTTAGGAGCTCAAAGCTAGCATTATCTTTTTAATAGTAGGTACTTTTTCAGTTAACCATAAACAGACAGTATCTGTTAACCATAAAATCCATTCAATTTTCAAAATATATTGCTCAAAATAATAATTTCAGTACAATCTGAATATTTATAATCAAGACTCATCAAAATTGTAGGAAAACTGAAACTTACTAAGAATTCTAAATGGAATCAATGAAAATATATAAAAGTATACATGTTTATGGAGGCAAACAAGTTATAGGGCTAGAGATACTAAAGGAAAAATGAATAGGAAACCTCTTACATTTGTAGACATGTTAAAGATACATAAGTATATACTACTTATATAACATATAAGTAAAATATTTATTATATTCTTACTTTATTATAAGTATAATAGATACATAGAATACATAAAAATATAATAAAATATATTTTATATATAATTTTGTGTTTTCCACCAACCCCATTCTTATCTCAAAATATAATTACTTATTTATATTTGAAATGTTGGGGAATAGAAACATTTTACATTTATTGTACATAATCACTAAAATGAAAATATACTTATGAGTCAAACATTGATGAACAGATTCCCAGATGGTAAATTATAGTACAGAGCATATAGCACATTTATTCTAAAGGAAGCAACTCTATTTCTGGTCCTTTCATCTGTAAAACAGCCCGGGGAGTTCTCAATCATAGTCACTGCCTCCCCTGATGACTCCCATGTCTATTTTCAGCTCAGATCTCTTTCCTGACACTGATAGTTATATCTCACTATCTACTGAATACATAAGATGCTATGAAGGTACCTTGAATCAAACATGTCCAAACTCATACCTTATATTGCCCAGAAAAAAAGTACTTCTTCCTGTTGTTTTTATTTCCTTGAATAATATATTGCCATCCTCCCAGCTGCCTAAGCCAGAAACCTGGCAGTCTCTTTAACGCCTACCTCTTGCCTCTCATGTCAGAGAATCTGTCACCAAGTCCTGGCTAAACTACTTTCTAAAATGAACATCTCTTAGACATATTCCTTGTGCTCTTTATACTGCCTTAGATGGGGGTCTTTGTCTTTTGTTCCCAGATTACTACAACTGTCTTGTAATTGGTCTTTCATTGCAGCCAGGATAGACTACATAAAAGGTATGATGATGTAAACTTCCCAACTATAAACTGGTCTACAGCTCCTCCACAGTTCTCCATGAGCAAATTTCCAGATTCATTAGTATGGCACAATACTTTTACTCTTTTTCTTTGACTACTGATAAATCACATTTTCATTTGCAATACAGTAGGAATTAAAAAATACAGTACTTGGTAAGCAGAGCAGTGAAACTAGGTTTTATCAAATATGTAAGTTTTTACTACCACATCTGGGAGAAAACAAAGCTCAGAACTCATCCTGTGCTTGAGAGAGTGGGACACATCAGTGGCTCATTCCCCGACTTGCAAGGAACTTGCAAGGAAACTTGCCCATCTTGAGCTCTGGCACTGAGTGGAAAGGGAGAACTGGCCCTTGAGAACCTGGTCAAGTGTGATCCCCACACAATCCACAGCCTAAATGTGCATTAGGCTTTTGTAGCCCACAAAAAACTTAAGATAAATAACTCAGTGTTTTTCCCACCATACATAAATTACAAGGCGATAAAAGGTAGGGAAGGGGAAAAGCAATATAAAAGTATTGATTAATTGCAATTTGTTAGATATCAATTCTGACAAACTCAAAATATCTTGAAACAATGGGATAAACCAGAACACTGGCTATTTGATGAAAAATTAAAGGATTATTATTAATTTTAAGTCACAACGACGGTATTGTATTTAAAAGAAATTTTTTTGAGATGAGGGTCTTCCTGTGTTGCCCAGGCTTGCCTTAGCCCCCTCTAGCAGGGTTACACGCACACACAGTCATTCCTCATCACACTATGGTTGTGGTCTTTTAGCTAAAACTGAGGAAGGCAAGACAGGAATGAAAAAGGGGATAAAAGGCAAACTGAATAGTGGCTCAAAGTTGATGCAGCCCTGCAGCTGTTATACAGGATGTTGTATGACTGCACAAAGGGTAACACAACAAGACTACCTCAAACTGGCTGGGACCCACATGGCAGATGACCAAACTGACTGCTAAGTACTCTTTGCTTCATTATATTGGCAACTCCATATCATCAGCCTTGTAAAAGTGCCTATTCCTACCATGCATCTGATGCCATGACACATGAAAAACTCACGTAAGACCAGAAAAAGGGGAGTAAACCCTACTTTGTGAAAACCCCTGACCCATTCCTGGAGTTCCCCATTTTCTCCCTACCCTAACTCATGAATAATCCTCCCCTCCACTAAAGTTTGTCCATAAGAGGAGCTATCTAAAACAATGTGACTCCCTCTTTTTTTTCTTTTGGTAGGACTGGAGTTTAAACTCAGGGCTTCACACCAGGCAAGTGTGCAAAGTGGCCTGAGCCACACCTTTCATTCATTTTGCTCTGATTATTTTGAAAGTCTTGCTCTCTCTCTCTTTTGTTGATACTGGGGTTTGAATTCAGGGACTCATGCTTGTTAGGCAGGCACTCTACCACTTGAGTCACTCTGCCAGCTTTTGCTCTGGATATTTTGGAGATGGAGTCTTGCACACTATTTGCCCATGTTGGCCTCAAACTGTGATTCTCCTGATCTCAGCCTCCCAAATGGCTGGAATTACAGGCATGAGCTACTGGTACCTGGCCTATGCTACCTCTTGAGTGTCTACTTTTGCTCTGGGAGAAAATGCCCTCCCAATTCCTTGCTTTGTCTCATCTCTGAATTCTTTCTCTGACGGTGTTGAGAACCTAGAAACTGTGGGTAGAGGTC